TATTGAATTTTCTACATTTTAGGTAGCATTGTAAATATTATGGAAGCTAAAAAACCCCTGATGTTTGAAAAGAAGCCAATTGTAAAATGAATGAATTAGATATCAAGACTAAGATTGGATTGGCACCAAGTTCAATTATTTTGTTACTTAATGGAGGTAATAAATTTGAAATATGAAAAGTTAAGTCAAAGTTTTTCTATCTGCAGCACGAGGACCTATTCAAATTATGTGGTATGATGTACTTGTCATGTTTAAAAAAAAATGGGATCCGGACCCCTCTAACCCCGCTGTACATGCCCCCTGAAAGTTCATACCCCTATATTTGCACCCAAAATGTTGTTTTGGGCGTAAAAGTCCTCAGAAATATGATGCCGAATCGGATTTTTCACTTTAAAATTATTTTCAACAATCCAATATGGCGGAATAAAAATGGCGGCCAATATGACCCCCATTTTGTATGAGCGCTAGGCATATACCATATACATGTATATGGCTTGTGTATGTCTTTTTATATGCCTAGAATACATACAAAATGGGGCCATGGAGAAAATAAATTATGACATATTTTCATTGCCAATGGTGGGATAAATTTAATTTAACAATACAGTTATGTGGCCCAATACGTTTCTTGTAACAGTATTGGTAGTAATATCATACATTTATTAGTGTATGTTTAAAATTAAAATGGACATAAATTATACATACACATAAATTCAGTAGAGTTGCAATAGAAATGTTCGTTAAATTAAAGGAGAATTCCGTTTAATTTAAATTATATGCCAAAATGGGAAGAAATAGTCCACATAGGTTGTCGGGAAAGTTTTGCTCAATATATTTTGCCACTTAGAACGGGTTGTAAGTAACCTGTTTATGGAACTCCACACTAATATTTCGTGAACTAATTGATCAATCAGGCAATATGTTACATGAATAAATCTTTAGTGTCCCAAAATATAAGTTGTAAATTGTGATCTGTGTATAAAAGTTACAATAAATGGTTTTATGCCATCATGAAGGGAGTCGCGAGTCACATTCAAATGCAATTTGATAAATTTGACAGTTTACTGAATACATGTACACATGAGAGCTGTGTATATTATGAATTGAAAAGACATTGACTTTACACAAATATCAGGTTCATTTCATTGAGTGAGGAAAATTCATAATGGCGATTTCATGAGCAGATAGATAGTCGTTATACCTAGTACATTCTCCCAATATTCAATTATATAGAAATAATTCACAATAATTCAATGATTTCATTCAATATATGTATTGAAATACTTTAAAAACAAAGAAATGTGTAACTAAAAGTGGTTAATGTACAGTTGAGAGCTCAGTGTATTCCAATTCTTCACAGGAAATATAATGCAAACAAAGGTTTTAAAATTAAAATCAATCATTCAATGCCAGTGGTTATATGAGCATTATATTTAATTGTCCTTCCATGTTATAAATTTATTGGTTTATACTCCTTGTAGGCAACAAATGAAAGTTCTTCATAAAAGTAAATACAGTGGTAGGGTGCCCCGAGCTGCAAAAAAATCTCGAAAACTATTTACAGTTATGGCACTACATCTATAAACCACAACCCTAGATAATCTTTTATCACAAACTATCAAGAAACTGTATCTGCGTGTTATATTTCCTAAGATATATCCATTTGAATGTCTGTTAAAATACACTGCTTTTGTGTACGCGCGGTCGACATTTTTGATTTGTGTTTTCAATGTTAACGGAGTTATGTTTTCTTGGTCATCTAAAATTTGTGATTTCTTTTCCGAAAAGAATGAACCACCACTAGCATTTGGGAATATTCGTTTAAATCGTGATTTGCTATCGGACCAAATCTGCTCCATGATTTGATTAAATTTCAGATCACCGAGCATGCGCAACGCAGCTCAGTTTTGGATCGGCCATTCGCGTGTGCTTAATGTGTGCAGCCCAATTTAAATTTATTTTAGTTTCTGTAGATATATTAGACCAATCTATTTATATTTTCTGTATACCCATAGACACATAGGTCTATTTATATTGGTATTTATATGTGAATATGCCTTTGTAAATTTAAATTAGATGTCCCATTAAAGAAATAAAGTCGGAAATATGTTTATTGAAGAAAAGTTTCATGGAACAATTAGAGTATTAAATAAATAATGACAGACTATTTCAATCAATCAAAATGAAAAATGTGCAATAGCTGATCAAGTTATGTACAGATTTGAGATGTACATTGACATTTTGAAGATGGGTTTGAATAAGTGAATACAAACTAGAAGATACATAATTAAGAACAAATTGAAGTTCGGGATCACGTTCCTTCTTGTATGATAGCATTTACACAAGAATAAATATATATGCTGATTATTTTAATATGTATTTCCTATAACTTTATATAGTGCCTGAAAGCAATCCATAACATTAACAAAAACACATCGCATCGTGACCAACATGTTACATCTTCTTTCGTAACGGTATGTCGTCTATTACAACACCCTTAAATCATATACATTTATATGTACAGTATAACACCCTTAAATCATATACATTTATATGTACAGTATAACATTTTTTTTATACATATAAAATAGTCGATATTATCATGTCAGCTATTATACAACAGAAATACAGATTTCCCAAAGATAAATAGGTTTAAAATTAAGCGTAAGATCGCGTTATCGCAAGTCAAATTCTGAAAATTCTCACGGGACCTCAAAACACAGGAAACCGTGCTTCGCCAATGAAACCTTAAACATACATTATGCAAGAGCTAAATCTGCCTATTGCAAGTCTTTTATTAGGCTTCAGATGTTATAGAAATTATTATTAGACCATTAATACCTTTACACGTATTTACATGACAAGCTCAAAATCAACCCTGTAGACCCTCGGATGGCTTGCATACAGCTTGTATTTAAACAGTCGTCCATTTAAAATTAAATCAATAAATGGCTGACCAAGAAAACGTTTACCGTTAGGCACTGGCGTCACTACCGGATACTGGGGACGAAAGCCTGCCAAGCGAGGATACCATAGTCATGGAGAGTGTTACTGAATAATCGAGAATATGTGGGTGGAGTTACCGACTTAAATCAAACGATCGGCAATTCTCGTAGACGGTGCAGACACAGTTGATGCCTATTTCTAGTCCAAACTTCCAACAGGGACAACTCCGTTCAGAATAAAGTAATTTGACTGGAATTTTCAAAATTTTCTTTTTTCATCATCTATTTTTGAATTATTATAGCAACAATGGCCAGCTTTTTTTTTTATTAAACTCTTAACTAATGCATCTTTAAAATAGGCCATGTTGGAAACATGGAAAGTGGATGTATGTTTAATATTCTAAGTCAAAAGACAATCCGTAATATACCGAAGCCCAGAAGGCGCATTCCAAATTCCAAATTCCAAATGCGAAATTCCAAATTCCAAATTCCAAATCCATGTCTTACCAATAAAATAGCAAATTGGCTGCCCCCCCCACCCCTCAACTAAACAAATTAGAATTTAAATAAATTAGTTTACCTATCTGATGCCTAGGCCTGCGAAAGCCCAGAAGACTCATTCCAAATTCCAAATTCCAAATGCGAAATTCCAAATTCCAAATGCGATCGTATAATGTGGTCGTATATTGTCGTCGATCCCGTCCGTCCGGCCGTCCGGCGTCCACAATTGCTTATGGACGCTGTAGAGACTAAAGTTAATATCCGATTGACTTTAAATTTATACACAGTGTTTAAGGTCATGAGACCAAAAAGCCTATTGATTTTCAGCGATTTGCAAGTTATGGCCTTTGATCACTTTGAAAAATCTTGTGACGCTCTAGAGGCTAAAGTTATCATCCGCTTGACTTCAGATAGATACACAGAGTTTAAGGTCTTGAGACCATCTACAGGCTTCAGCAACGCTTTCGGGCCACCAACACCACGGGTGATCGCCCCCCTAACTGGTAAACCAAAGGTTACCACAAGGCGACACAGGCATCTGAGACAGCCCGTCAGACAGTGGGAACACACGAAAGACCCATCAGTACCGATACAGTGCGCCGAAGTCTCACAGTGCCCAACAACACCAGAACTGGCGACACAGGCAATGGAGAACTGTTCTGTTCACAGATAAGAGTCGGTATTGCGTCGACGTGGCCAGCGTTATTCTGACCAATGTGTCATGGAACGAGGCTCATGGGGAAGTCCAAGCATAATGGTCTGGGGTGGAATCGGACTGAACCAGACAGAAGGCGGCATCACAGCAGTGCGCTACATCGATCAAGCTCCCAGTCCCCACGTCATACCACATTTCGCACGTCATCGAAATAATGTTTTTCAGCATGACAACAACCTACAAATCAAATTAATAAACCTGTTTATAAGTGGGTAAGACGCTGGCTCGCTAGCCTGGACGTCGGGTGTTCGATCCCTGCATTAGCCGAGAAAGTTCATTCAGATTTTCCGGCGTAGTTCCCCCTTGTCGGTGATGCAGGACGGAGGGGCTGACAAGGACAGCTGTCTAGTCCTTCGGATGAGACGAAAAACCGAGGTCCCGTGTATACATTGGAATGCACGTAAAAGATCCCTTGGCAGTTGGAATTCGATATAAGAGTAGGCGATAGTGCCGCTGCCCGGGCAAAATTACCCTCATAGCACACTGTATGGCGTATGCCCGTCTTCATTAGCCCAGCATAGGAGCAGAACAGTAGGACGTTAAACCCAATTTCATTTCATTTCAATAAACGTGTTTGGTCATAGCAGTTGTAATGTAGATGGTAGAAAGTTAACATAACAGCAGTTACCTTGGTGGCGTTATTTTGGCTGTTTCTGTTATATTCATGTCTCTTTAAAAATATATCGAGTTGGTTGTTGTGTCCTTGAATTCATTTTATATGTCAAAGATCTCTAATCACAAGGTCATAAATCAGAACAGCAAAATTCCAAATTTAAAAAGTTCAAATTTGACAGGGAAAATAACCGACAAAATGATTTCCTAACAACTGGAAACAATAATAGACATATAATGTTTATTAACCATACGATGATTTCAAATGATGACTAGAATTTATGACAATTTCAAATTTAATTTTCTTAAATGTGGGCGTGTATAACAGTCTAGTTATTTCATTCAATAACAATAATTATAACTGATTCTATTGTTAATATAGCCATCGTCATCCAGCGCAGGTGACTACCGGACAATATACGTCCACATTGAATGTAATTGTAGTAGTTTATTAACCGCGCACCAGTTATAAGTACATCATATTATTCAATAATAGAATATACGAAGTAATCAAATAACTCACTCAGAATTATGTGAGACGAAATGTACATTATATAAAACAGAAATACATAAGATAGTAAAAACAAATTACATATAAAATAAAGATGAGACACAAATTCTAAAATAAATATCTAATAAATCACATTCAAAAACATGGTTGCAACTTGGGTTTTATTGGCTCATAACTTAATAAATTAAATGTGGGTGTGTATATCAGTTAGATTATCAACATAGTCATTGCCATTCATCTCGAAAGGGTCGTAAGAACCTTGTAGAACTCTGCTCATTATATCTGGAGAAAGAAGTTTTCCACTAACAGAATCATACATTTGTAGAGTAGGGTAACCATCAACGTTTGAGAATCTCTTTTTCTGAAATCAAATTAAAATATGAAGGATATTAATTGCATATAGTGATGGCGCGTGTAATGAAAACCAGTGGCTGCCAAGCAGATACGCCCACATTTTGCAAGAGATGGACAGAGAACAAGCTAAACAAAAAGAGATTTTTTGTACAATCAAGGACTATAATTATAATTATAAAGATACATGTCAAGCTTCATCAAGATCGGATCAAAATTGTGACTTCCAGAGGACCCACAACCTTGATATACCAAATATTTACACTATTTGCGTAGGAGGGGTGTCCATTTGTGCGGCAGTTTTGGTCACATTTTCACGAAATTCGAATTCAGCCGTTATTAGGGTGTAACGGTAATATATATGCTCTTTTTTTAAATTTTAAATCGGATAATAATTGTGACCTCTAGAGGGACCACAAGCTAAAAACAAGATTTTTCGTACAATCAGGGGTCATGATTCAGGAATTTATGATCAAATGTGCAAATATCGGAAAGAACCAAGATCTCTTTGTTATAAACAAGCATTTCACAGTTTCATCAAAATCAGATGAACATTGTGACCTGTAGAGTGTCCACAAGTTAAAAACGTGATTTTTCGTATAATCAGGGGCCATAATCCATGAAGTTATGGTCCGATTTATGTCAATATCGAATGGAACCGAGATCTATATTTTCAGTTCCGCCAAAATCGAATAAAAATTGTGACCTGTAGAGTATCCACAAACAAATTGTGGACGGACGGACGGACAGGGGCGACGACAATAATTATACGTCCACATGAAAATGTAGGCGTATAAAAACAAAAACACCCAATATTATTGTTAAAGAATAAGAAGCCACGCCGAATTGATTTTTAGAAAATGATGTCTTCGTTTGTCTTAAATGTTTATTTTGTGCCATTGTAGGTGATAAGTAGGTGATTTAAGCTATCGTCGTGAATCATTACATTAGGCGAACAGAAGAATTTTATGGTTTGGACATGAACGAATTAGATGACACGTACACCAAAGGACATAATTTGTTTTCAATTCTGGGTGAAATACAGGATAACACGTCTGATAATCGTGAGGGAAAAATTACCGGATATGTATTCAGGCATAAGTAACTAATCCAGCAGTGAATAGGTTCGAAATATATTGCATGTCATGTTTAATAAATGGCCATACACTCGTGTGACCGTGTAGATATGCTGTGTAGCGTACACATGCGGTTGCTATGCTTACTTGTGTTGTCATTTCGACGATGTTATTTTTTTTCTTCGCAAAAAACCCAGTGTATAAAATAATTAGTTTCTGTCTTATTCATATCAGTATCAACCGGTCTTGTGTATATTCTTTTTAAAAATATATCACTATCAGTTATTTACGGTCCATAGGGAGTTCAATAAATTGTAGTATTTTTATTCACTTGTTGAAAATCTTCGATTTTAACCAGTCTGATTATGACATAATGACCATAGCAACCATTATTATTATTGTCAGACCAGCCTTGAAATGAAATTTACTTATCATCTTTCAAATACACTCACTAACTTTGTTTTTTGTGCGTTTCAGGTGTGTGTTTCAATAAGCCAATGGTTGAATTTCATTGTTGATGACATACAAGTAAAAAAATCATTTCCTAGAATAAAGTTTTGAGGTGTAGAATTTTTAGCCACTGTAAACAGAAAATATTACCCAGAAAATATTCATTCGCAGCGAGTCGTCCAGGAAGTTTAGAGCAATGTTATACTCATTCGACGCCACTTTTCGACCAATAGGAATCCAATAAATTTCCATTTTGAGCTACAATATATATTTGACATCAAAAGTAATACCCTCTAAGGCGCGATTATCCAGGTTTAATATGGCCGAATTTCATTTTTGGATGGTCGAAGACTACCACTTTTGAATGTATTAAATGATTTTGAGAGCGGCAAAGTAGTGTACTCAAGTCATTATTTACTTTTACACCCGAATTGTTGTATTTTAAAACTTGTTGTGGACGTATTCAAAGAACTAATGGTAAATAATCAACAAAGATTTTAAAATGAGTTGATATTTTACAACGCTTTTGGTGTCGAAATGTCGTCTACAACCCCTACTTTCGATGTGCGGGTGGGGGGGATTATCGATATTCCTTTATAGCATGTACTAATAGAATTTCCAAGATCGCTCATCGGTTTGTTTTGCATTCCCATGGACACCAGACAAACCACAACCTATAGCTGAAAATTGTCCTGTAACTTTTTTTGGAATTGTAATTATAGTGGGGTAATTATAAATTGATGCAAAACTTTCGTTTTCAGTACCAATTTGAAAGTAAGGGTCTATAGAACAATTTTGTTTCGAGTGTCAAGCAGTCAGATAAACAAAATCAAAATGGCCGCATTCACAGCCATTTACGTCCCGAATAACTGGCCACAGATCACTAAACATTTGCCCATTGACTTTAATGTTAATTCTCGTCTCTTAGACCGACTCTAACTTTTTCCCAAATTTTCGTTGGGTAGAACGCTTTCTACCACAGATGGAGCAACATGTGGCAACCTCTTGACCAAAAGCATGTATGAGGTTCACCATGGAAAACTTGAGATACACAAGCTGGAAGTAGAGACAAGAAAACATGCAATTTTGGACCCTACATTTCAACCTAACCAACCTCTCAACTCTTGTATCCTTCCGCCTCAAAATCATGAATATTCAGCAAAACCTGGTAGAAAATGTATTTTCGAACCCCTTTCTTCGATTCTACACCAAAAAGTCAACAAAAATCGCCATGCAAAAGGGGGAAAAAGGGAGAGAAAGACTAAAAATAACTTTTGCCCTACATTCGTGGGTGACGGCGTAGAAATATTTGGTGAGCTGTGTCCAACTGATAAAGCAAATGGACTAAGACTAGTAATTATTTCCCTTTATTTCATGAGCTGTGTCCAACTGATAAAGCAAATGGACTAAGATTAGTAATTATTTCCCTTTATTTCACGAATGTAGTGCGAGTTATAAATAGACAATTTTTCCCTTAATTTTTTTTCTCCCCTCTTCCTGCATTTTTGGGTTGACTTTTTGGTCTAGAATTGGAGAAAAGGGATCAAATTTGCAATTTCATAGCAGTTTTGGGTAATACTGATGATATTACAGCGGAGGGATAGGGGGTGTAAAGTGTCTTTCTGCAGAGCAATCATTGTGTCGGAAGTGAGATTTTCACCCCTGTCAACTTCAAATCCGTTTAGCAAAAAATCTAAATGGTCAACCCCCTACAAAATTATGATGAGGAGATTGCCAAATGTTGTCCCCATTGTGCCTATAAAGATTGGAACCAACGGAATGTTGAGCAAAAAGCTACAGCCTGTGATGTTACAGTCATTTAACATTGAAGTCAATGGGCAAATAATTGCTAGTCTGAGTCCAAATACTGATGCGGCACGAAAAAGCGGAGTGACTAGTCTTAGAGTGACGCTAGACACTGTTTATTTCACAGAGCATCCCGGCATATCGCCAAAGGAATTAGAAAGAAATCTTAAAAGGGTTACGTGTCAAGATAAGCTGGTTTGACGTTCACGTCCAAACTACTCAATGTTTTGAGCTGAATTTCTGAGACAAAGTAAATACACAATTTCTCTATTTTTGTCGTTTAAATTCCATACGTACAAGGTCTTTTATTTCTGAGACTCTGTTAAAATCGGGATGGTCCCTTTAACCACTTACAAATTACCTTTATCAGTCAAGTTACCTGTAGATCATGATCACTCGATGTTTAATTACCTTAAAATTACTTTTACCCCAGTCGATATCAAATTGATCAAAGTAGATCATCTAGACTTAAACTATTTTGTTTGCCCAGGTAAAAAGTACCCGCATGATCTAAATACTAAGCGTAATTGTAAGCTTACCAGATTTTGAATGTTACTGTATGGAACGGCCAGCCATGGCATCGTTTTGCGGTACGCTTCCCATTGCGTTTCTGTGTTTTCGTTATCAATAAGAGCAATAACTTGGAAGTTTCCGTTTTTGTTACTTTTAATGTGGTAACGTTTGTAGAACTCAATGACTTTTGGTAGATATTGTTGGCATAGTATGCTTTCTGACCATGTAAATAATATACCTGTTAATAGAAAAAAAAAAATCAAATACCATAATAATATCATAATGTGACAACCAATCCTTACTCTAAGGCTCCGCCAATTCTATAGTACGATTGACATGGAACGTGGCATTGTTGGTCCGAAGTAAAGCGTGCCTTAAATATTCGGGTATCTTGCCAAAATGTTTAATTATTTTTGAAAGTATCATAAATAGGTTAGGTGATTTATGTAACAGATTATTGTTATCTTTAATCGAACCGACTTTAATGCATTCAAAATCAGGATCGATTGTGTCCCGGTTAGTCATACATTTCAAGAAATAATCATGATATTACAAAATATCTATAAATAAAAGAACCAAGAAAAGAATTGGACACCCGATACATTAAAAACATTTTCGATTTTGTTATTTGGCATGAAATCGATAAATTTCTGTTTGTTTTTTATATCAATTATTGGATTAATTAAAGGAGATTCATTCGAACAAAATACAACAAATATTTTATAAGATTATAAAACTTTCTATGTTATCGTCGTTACATTTTTTGAACAGAAAGAAACATTTGCACCCAATTATAAATATGGTAGACCGTTTATCAATAGTAAATTTTGCATGATATTAGTGCTTAATTCTTTGACATTTAGTTATTATGAAGTTTAAAAAAAAAAAAAAAAAAAAAAAAAAATATGTTTAACCGTTTGGTTTTCCATTGCGAAAGAACTCGTAAACAATCTCTACTTACCAATTATGGTTCTCGGTCCACAGATTGACTTGACAGGTATGACGTCACCGTTGACCTTTTCCACTTTACTTCCAACAATGGCCTCCATGATGTGTGGTGTACTTTAAAATGCGTCTCGTATTAATAATGGACTGCATGCAGTTCGTGTGTTGCTTTCTGTTAAAAAGATGTTAGAATGTTTTCGTATTTATACCCTCACACCGCATGGTGTAAAACCAGTGCTGACGAATTTTATGCTTATTATTAAAGTCATTACATCAGCAAGTTCTTAGAAATACTAAATAACTGGAAGGAAATTCGTTTTTTATTATGAACAGTCTATTTATAGTAACATTGCGTCAATAGATGTAATAATTTCTAAAAATAAAATCGAGGCAACCAAACAAATCATATGCTGTATATCTAATTGGGTGACCGTAATGGCTATTTTGGGGAGCCCGAATAATCGACACCGAAACTGACCAAACAAAGCCGGAAATAAAGGGAACGAGGTGTATATTCATAGAGCAGGATATTTAGTTTGGCGTGATTAATTCTAACTGAGAGAGAGAGAGAGAGAGGGGTGGAGTTTAACGTCCACTCGACACACAAACTAGGTCATCTCGGGACTAGGATATGGTTCAATTTCATTTCAATAATTCGCTTGGGCGTGGTGATCTTTAGCAGTGGGAGGAAACCGGGGGAGCCGGAGAAAACCAGGGGCGGATCCAGGAATTTTTACAGCAGGGGGTTTGCCAGGTTCCTGAGAAAATGTATTCCCCCCCCCACCTCCGCTTGAAATTTTTTGAGAAATACATGGTCTCTATCGTCATTTTGGCGTATATACATACACATTGATCTTTTTAAACAGAGAAATCCAACATCCTGTTTGACGTCAATTTGTATTATGAAAAAACACCATGACATTGTGATTCAATTTTATTGATGCAAAGCATTAATTGTGATATCACATATGTCTATATCATTATCTCGCGCTTTGAGTGCCCATCCTGTCCCACATCCGCGCCTGAAAACCCATTAGGTACGCAGGCGGCCCTACCCCTTGTCACGTACAATCGGGGAATCGAAACCATAATCACCATTTGTGAAATTTAAATCGCTAAAAGGAATATCAGTTGATGGCCTATATTGGATTTGTTTTCTTAATTAAATGTTAAATAATGAATCTGAAAACATTTTATCGTACATTAAGTCGTGCAAAATTAGATAGGGTCAATTGTCAAATAATGCAAATGTCGATGAGCGGCACGGTCATTTAGCTTACCATAGATCTACTGGTAATATCTAATTAATTGTTGCGGTACGTAGACATTTTAAATTTAAAGAAACGTTCGTTAGTCCCGAAAAGACCTAGTTTGTGCCTATGGAATTCTCTCACGTTACTGGAACATTTTTGTTGATATAGACCGTACCGTCCTAAAATAGCAAGTTGGAATAAAATAGAAAGCCGTTTATTTTTCTAGTTTTCTGTTTAATGTATCCCAATATCTAAAACCCTATAAATCAGATCGATATGCACATCCACAAGCATTTAACTACAAGAATAGTATAATTACCGTTCAAAATGTTCAACTTTGCAAACTGGGCCTGTCATCTTGTTACGTCATATGTTCTGAACTCGATATAGTTTTATGCCGTATTCGTTACTCCTCGGTTTTATGAGAAATACGACTAACGAAATGGTAAATAGCGTTCGTAACTACAAAAATTGGCTCGGAAGTCGTGGTTTCTACTGGAGAACTCGGGTAGCTAAAATTATATCGAGTTCACGACATATGACGTAACAAAATGGCAGCAAAAGTTGTAAAATTGAACGTTAATTATAATATTTTTGTAGTTAAATGCTTGTTGTAGATGTGCATATCGATCTGAATACGTGATTTGTAGGATTTTACATATTGGAATACATTTTCCGAACAGTGACAAGAAACACATCGAACAGAAAACGAGAAAGATACATGGTTTTCTTTTGAAATGGACCAATATAATTCGTGTTCTCCAAACTTCTGGTATACTACAGCGATGGGTTTGACAGATTTCAGAATCTCTAGTTTAGAATTAAATCACGTCAAACTAAATATCATGCTCGATGAATATACAACTCGTTTCAGTTCGTTTCGGCTTTGTTTGATTAGTTTCGGTGTCGATTATTTGGGCTACCCAAAATAGCCATTACGGTTTCCCTATTAGATATATCTGAGGCAAATACTTCTATTTGGGAATCATTTCCGTGTGTGACTTATTTTTGCAACGTAAATCAGGAAAAATTTAAACTTAAACGGTAGCTGACTAACAGAATATCTTTAGGGATTTGAATTTCACGTGCCGAAGAAAGTAAAAGTAGAAAGTTGGATTATTGATCGTAACCCTCGTTGGTTTCATGTTCATTTCTGTTTTAGTACGGAGAACCAAAGATGCTCTTCTTGACAAATCAAGCCGCAAATACGCCCCGTGGAAGATGCAGCGTTCCTTCAAATGGAACTTGTAGAAACTATGTATAGACTACAAAATAGATCAAGGTTTCAAGAAACACATTTGAAGTTTTAAACTGATATAAATGTAAGTAGGCTTAAGTATTCTTGATTTATACTTTTGGTTTCTTTCGTTGAAACAAATCGCCCTTTAAACACGTATATTACAAATATAATTCTGTACTTTCTGTACATTCTGGGTGAGACTTCTTTGCTTACCTGTTGATCTAATAGCTAACAGTTGCGAGAACCCTGTGAGACTTAAGCGTCTAGTAGACTCTGTGATTAAATGGCGGAAAATGTCGTAGAGGACAATCATATGTATGATACATTGACAGCGGCTAACGACATGATTATGTACTGTCATGGTACGTACGAAGTAACTAAGTCAGTAAATGTTTAATGTTTGTTAAAGAACTCTTTTTGGTGTCTTCGGTGGTGCGGTGGGATAAAAGAAATAAAACGAAGCCGATTATATACACTCACTCGTTTTAATTTCACTTATCGATATATCGATGATGTTCTATCACTGAATAATCCTAAATTTAGTGATTATGTAGAATTCATATATCCTGATGAGCTCGAAATTAAACACCCTACTGACAGTGACAATTACGCTTCTTACATGGATCTGCGTCTCGATTTTGACAATTGCCATAAAATGGGTGTTAAATTGTACGATAAACGTGTTGACTTTGACTTTCCGATTGTCAACTTTCCATTTATTAGTAGTAACATTCCATTATCACCAGCTTACGGAGTGTATGTGTCTCAGTTTTCCCGATACGCGGGAGCTTATTCCTTTTAATCTGATTTCTGATTTTTTTATACGCCCACATTTTCATCAGACTAAAAATCGGACTAAAATTGACGGACACAATGGCCGCCCCCTTGTACGCAAATAGTGTAAAAATATGGTATAACAAAGTTGTTGACCCTCTAGAGGCCACAGTTTGTGTTACTCGCTTATGTAATCACGAAAATAAAGTCTACGGCCGAAGAGCAATAACTGTTCATCATTATAGATATAATCTGAATGGCGTATGACGTCATATATAACTTAGCCGACGATAATAATAAATTATTAAAATGTTGACAATAATAAAATGCTATACTATGAATTAACTAATATTTGAAATGAAAGGATTAAATGAAACACAATATTCGAAAGATGTTTATATGCTAAAGTGTTTATGAATTAATCTACAGCATCGATAATATCGATTTAATATATTAATTACTTATGCAGAATAAATATAAACGTGCAAAACTATAGCAACATTCGAACATTTCATGGAGATTTATTGATAAAACTTTAAAATTCTTTAATTTTGGACAACAAATCAGGAAATGGGTGAACATTTTTAATACTGATTTTAAGCTCTGTGTTAAACAATTTAGTAAATCGAGTGAGTTCTTCGCCATCGGACGTGGCTGTAGACAGGGCGATCCGTTATCGCCCTATGTTTTTTTGCTATGCGTTGAAATTTTGGGTAGTTTAATAAGAAACGAGGAAGACATTAAAGGAATTAATTTAGGGAATAAAAACCAAAAAATCGTACAATATGCGGATGACACTGCTCTGACACTTGACGGTAGCGAAAAATCTCTTAGACAGGCCTTGAATCTTCTTAATGAATTCGCAAAATATTCAGGTTTAAAACCAAACTTGGAAAAAACTTGTTGTGTTTGGATAGGTTCATTAAGAGGAAGTCAAGAACGATTTTTAAATGTTAAAAAAAATTTAATCTGGGAAATATCGGAATTTACGGCCCTAGGAATAAAATACAGTACTGATATCGATAAGATAATAGACCTGAATTATAATGTTAAGTTTCAAGAAGTTTGTCACTTGATGTCAAATTGGTCTAAACGAAATTTAACTGTACTCGGTCGAATAACTGTCGTAAAGTCAATATTAGTACCAAAATTAAATCATTTACTAACAAGTCTACCTTCACCGGATATATCTTACTTAAAAAATATAGAGAAATCGTTATATAAATTTGTTTGGGGTAATAAAGCTGAAAGAGTGTCCAGAAAAACTATGGTTCAAAATTTTGAAAATGGTGGATGTAAAATGATTGATATAATAGCATACTGAAAGTCGTTAAAAATTACTTGGTTTAGAAGATTATTAAAACATCAAAACACTGCCTGGGCAAAATTGTTAGTTAATTCTTTACCAGATAAACAGTTGTTGGTTGGCTCTTTCGGGGATGATTATTTCTATAAACTATCAAAGCGTACAAAATTGTCTTTCTGGCAAGAGGTTTTTAATTATATAAGTATTGCGCTAATTAAGTTAAAACCGAAAGATAACGAAATACATAATATTCTACGTCAGCCATTGTGGTACAATTCAAATATAAAAATAAACAATAAAACAATATATTTTGATGTTTGGCATCAAAAAGGAATAAAGTATGTTTATGATCTTTTCGATAAAGGTGTTTTTATGACATACGACACGTTCAAATCTATCTATAATTTCTCTCCACACTTTACAGACCTGTATGGATTAAAACAATCACTTCTTGCTAAATGGACTACTTTAAACAACATAAATGCTAAAACAGTAGATGTCAGGTTAATATTACCCATTTACCCTCAAATTATTGAATTCATCTCTATGTTTGATACTGGGGCAAAATATTTCTACACACATTTCTTAGATAAAAAAATTCAAAAAACTAAATCCGAAAACTCATGGGAATTAGATCTAGGAATGAAATTAACTTTAGAAGAATGGGCTCGTATTTACAAGCAAACATTTGATTTCACCGTCGATACTAGGCTGAAATGGTTTCAATTTCGACTCAATAGTAGAATAATTGGTACAAATAAATTTTTAGCTAAAATTGGAATTTTTAAATCAGATTTATGTACCTTTTGCAAAAAAGAAACTGAATCATTAATACATCTTTATTACAGCTGTGAACATGTACAGGTATATTGGAAAGAATTAGGAAGCTGGATTAAACTAAAGGCAAACAATGATTTTGATATCACCTTGATAAAATGTTTATTTGGCATTGATACTGATGATAACAAAATTCCAAATTTGATATATAGTTTAGCTAAGTTACATATATATAAACAACGGCTTAGAGAAAATAAACCAATTTTGAAGGTATTTAAAAAAGAATTATCATGCTATTTTGAAAAAGAACAAATTATACTTGGTGACAAAGTTCATGATAGATGGAAACATTTTGAACGGGAATGTAATAATAAATCTTATCCAAAACTTTATAAATTAAAGGCAAATAATTAGAGATCAGTGAACATATAAAATGTCAGTAGTTTGAACAATAATAACACAATAAACACAAGTCCATCACTTTAATGAATAATTCCCAGGGGGTAATGTGTGTTTGATACTCCGAAAGAATACTGGATCTTCTTTAGAAATAATGTCCTAGTCTTCTAGGTCAAATTGACTATAAACGTCTCCCTCATTCGGACCCGGACGCTGCCTTTCCACATTTAACTGTAACTTTCCAGATTTTTTATTAATTTCCATTCGGGTAAATCCCGCTAACTTCAAACTTGATTTAGCTGGATATGTCCACATGCATCTCGGTAAGACCTTATTCTTTTCCTGGTTCCGTTTATGTTGATTTATCAACGTTTCTACAAACCACTGCTCTGGGCAATATAAAGGACGTTACAGTAAAATAAACCAATAAGATAATAATTAAACTCCCGAGGCAAGTAAAAATAAATATTTTTTTCATTATATTTTCTTCGGTATGGACGGTATTCGTACCGCAGAGCCACCGATCTAATTACCGATGCAATAATCTGGTACAGGGATGGGAGGTGCAAAATTTGTTTTGCACAGACACATAAAAATCCTCTCTGCGTCCTGATTAGACCACACTCAGACCTATATATTTCATGTTTATAAAGCAAGGGAAATAACTCTCTTATACGAGGGTTATCTGGGTGCAGACTACAGAAAATTTATTTAGCCGATCGTAATAATTAAGTCTTGTCCCTTACACGGTTCTAACAGTTGTAGCAACTTTTAGCAATGTCTGTCTCTAAAGCTTAAACGATGTTCGCCATGAAATTTGAGGCCTTTATACATAAAAATTACGCTTACGTCAGTTTAACAGTGTAACTAAGCTGGAAAACACCTTTCTAAAAATAGCCCTTTGACCGATTATACAAATCATTTTCAAGGCCAAGTGGTATGGTTCGGACTATTACTTTGCCGTATTCATGCAGGATAGGGAAAGCCCAAAAAAACATGGGAATAACCATTCCAAAAATAATTTCTACCGTGGTTGTTGTAAATGATTAGGTGATCACTTTATAATCTAAGCTAATAAACTAACTGATTCTCTCACCTAAACCATTGATTTTATATGGCAATATTAACGTCAGGTTTCAGAAGCAATTAATTTTTTTTCCCCGTGTTAAATCTAAATATATAAATAACAAAATAACACAAATCATGTGCGAAAAACGTCAAGACAGAAACAAAATCATAGTAATAGCCTTTCCAAAAAAGGTATTTCTAGCATGGTTATTATTTTAGTTGGACATATTAGTATTTGACTTACATTGAACAAAGATAAAGATAAATCGGGTAGGATTTAGTGTTAGTGAACGAAGGTGGTTAGATTCTGACATCGACCCATTATTTAATAAATGTGTTAACTCTACCTGTGCAGTATTTCAAACATGTATATAAACTTCCCCTGGCTTCTGCTTTGTCACAAATGGTTCCTCAGTGATAACAGCCAATATTCGTAAAATAATAAAATTTATCACACGGATCAGACATTACTGATTCTAAAATATTTAAGACCGTTGAAGAAAGTACTAAACTATTCGAAATCTACTAAAACATGCCATTTACACGAGATTCTTTTTTCTCGACGTATCCGTGACGATCGGTACAAAACTAGTCCTGGAAGAAAACTTTCTATAAATATCAATTGCAACGAGCCATACATTGAGCTATAAGGGGGATTATGCCCATACAGCGGAGTTTCTGCCTACTCTTCATTGAATTTCGATTACCATGGGTTCTCTTACGTGCACACGAACGTGTATACGGGACCTTGGTTTTTCGCCCCACCGAATGACTAGGCACAGTTCCCGGTCGGGCTCTACGTCCTACACTGCAGACAGGGAAGAAACCACGCTGGAAAATCCCGGGGAAAACTTTATCGGCCCACTAACACCAATGGGAAAGCCCATATTAGTCACGAAAATAGACTTGGGAATAACCTTTTTTAAAAACATTTACGATCTGGTCATGGTAGTCGAGACAGTATGGAACAGACTTATCGACAGGAAGATAAAATTTTATTCTATCATTGCATCCACCAAGCAGAGCATACAAAGATAACAGTTTAAACAAAAGTTGGGAACGTCTCGGGTTCGATATTTTCAGTAGGTGTTAAGCGGCATTCATCACCTTAAGTGGAAGCGGACGTTAAGCCAGACTTCAAGTCAAGTCAAACACGGAACTTCCTTTTGGTTTTTGTTGGATGGTAGTGTTGATTTTTCCATCGACTCGGAGCGAGTATTTTAGGGTAATGCCTCTGCAAAAGTTTATGACTGTTCCTGAATTCTGATGTCGTATGATGAACTGAACTTAAATGGTATTCTGACGAGTATGGGTGATGGGTCAGTTCTGGTTGACTTTGCGGTGGAGTTTCCGGGTGCTATTGTAGAATTAATAGTGTTAATGGTTTGCTGTTTGGGGTACTGGTAAAAGGAGGAACTCGTGGTCACAAATATTAATATGGTGAGTGTTTATTACCTTTACTGTACGTCGTCATTCTTTCTTTGAATGTTTGTAACGTTGCTAGATGTAAGTAATTTGTAGTCCATATTATCGTGTCGTGTGTTATGGGTCATCATTTCTGTTAAATTTCAGCACTGTAGCAGATGACCATATAGTCAGACGTATTTTAGAGCTTCAACGCCGCGGTCACATCTTACAGCGACGCACGTAGTTGACTGTAGTTCATTTGAACGTATTTCACCGGTCAACTAGGTTGGAGTAGGGTGCCGTTTTACTACGGTCAACTACGGTAAACACTACGACTAACTAGGGTAAACACTGCGGTCGATTAGGGTCAATTACGGTCAAGTACGTTCATACTACTGCCCCAATAGAGTCTTGGCATCCAAGATCACCGCTGAAACATTTTGGGCTAACCACGGTCAACTCATGGGTTTCTTGAAGGTCCAACTACGTTTAGAACTACGCTGAACTACCTCTAATTAGGGAGATGAATTAAAAGTGTAACAAATGTAAAAACACAGTGTATTATCTTTCAGACCTCATCCGGGAGGTGGTTTCATATGATCTAGAAGATGTAAGCATATCCTTCCTCGTTCCAAACACAAGACACTACCCAAGGCTATGGTTTAGACCTACCTACAGATTCTTTAGTATTCATAAATTATAAAAGTGGCTAATAAGTTTATAATGACTAAATAATAGGGAAATACATTTGTTTTATTTATTTAATTTCCTATTTTATATTTAATTTTTATTAATTTAAATTAAATCATTTTCATACTCTATAAACTTCTTATAAATTTGAATAGAAAGAGAAATGTAATATTTTATGTAAATAAAGCAAATTTGATCACAAGCATCTCGGGGATTTACACTAATATAAATCTTATCCGTGTTCTTCTTTGTTACCTAATGCTCTTTTATACAACAAAATGTACACCATTTGTCTGTTATTTACCTTCTATTGAAAGACTTAAGTACCATTTTAAAATACACATAACATGAATAGTCAACAAATAACATTTCCGATACGGATGAAATGAGATTGTTATACATACAGCATAATGAACTTAATTGAAATGTTACAAAAGACTTCAACATAAATGATTGAGAAATGAAAAGCGAAAGTAAATTACGATATATTAGGCAACACAAATAAAATAACTTGTTTCTCGGGCACCGCCCGCACGCAAAATTGGTTGCGCGTGCAGTCTATTTATTAGTCTTGATGAAAAAAAAAAAATATGTAACGCCCGCCCGCACATCGACAAGCAAGTCGTAAAAAAAATATCCCGCATGTACCTACATCCGCCATACATGTATATCTATTCAAATGTATTAAAACTGATTCAGATGAACATGCTGTCTTTTTTATCCGAACAATGGCGAAGTTTGGCAGATTTGCCTTTTTTATTGATATCGAAAGAACCTCCATTTTGTATCACGTGATATTAATTACCTCCCCTGATAAACTAGAATTTGATTCGTGTTAAAAGTCATTGGCGACAATATTTCCATCATTCGATCGTAATCGGCTCATTATTGCCGGCTTCAGTCGGTCCTTGTTTGGAAAATCCTATTGATAAAATAATGAACCGTAGAACAGGTTAATTAATTATAGCTAAGAATACGATACGATGACGATAGTCGTCATAATGCATACCTTAGAATCTGGGTCATTATTAGCACATTTACGGTAGTTTCGATAATCCGGAAAATAATAATTGGATTACCGATTTGATGGTTTTACTGACCAGTTGTTAGTTAGATTTAAATAGTCATTCAATATAAACACCGGATAGAACACCGAATATCCTGAGAAACACACCGAATATCCCAAGAAACAGTATTTCCGGCAATCTCCAATACCGATGACACGGTGTGACATGCATTGGTTGGAATTCGGTAAATAATTATAAATAAACCGGCGATACTAGATTTAGTTTTAAATACTGTTTACCATGATTATTATTTTTGATACACCTGGTGAAAGAGGCTTAGTTTTTAAAAATATTGTTGTCTTTATGGAGGGCTATTACATAGTCGTATGGAATTTTATTTTAAACCAATTTCAATTATGTGAATTAAATATGGAAAATTATTTTCCTTTCAGTCAGTGTTCAGTCTCAGTGTTTTAGTAGACTTGATTTTGGGTTTATGTTTTAAGTATGTACAATAAAGTTGAATATAACGGAAAGCAAAAACGTAAACAAGTAATGACTTTCTCATTTAAAAAAAAAAAAAGAAAGACCGCCCTCCCGCCCCAACAATTTTCAGCAATAGCCAAATTTTATTTTGCACCATCAATGAGTAAAAAAAAAAAAAGAAACCGCCCTCCCTCCCTACAGTTTCAGCTGTCAGTTGCCCGAGAAACAAGACATTTATTTTGTGTGGCCTTATTTAAGTGTTTTAAATTCACGTATAACAGCTTTTGATTGAAATTAAACACTTTCTCGAGATTTCGGCAATTTGCCGTTTGAAAAGTTTAAGTCTTAAACTAAACCATGATACTTGTAAAATAGAACAAAAACAAGCGTTTCCAAATAAATAACATAAATTATGTGTGAATATTGTTATATCTTAGAAAAACAAGCGGTTGGCATGCGAGATACGGCCACATTTTGCAAGAGATGGACTGAGAACAAGGGTCCATTTGCTAAAAGGCGATTTTTCATGCAATCAGTGGCCATAATCCGCCATAAACATATATCAAAATAGGATGAAAATTGTGATCCACAAGACAAAAACGCGATTTTTCGTAAAATCAGAGGCCTTAATCCAGGAAGTTACAGTCCAATATGCATGAATATCGACAGGGATCGAGATCTGTGGGTTATAAACATAAATGTCAAGTTTCATCAAAATCGGATAGCGTCCACAAACAAAATGTGAACGGATACACGTATAAAAGTATTTTCTTGGGATGAATAGTTTCATTTGCAAGGAAACCGTTGATGAAATATAAATTCTCATTCGTACATTAGAGATGGTAAAGGGGGTATTATGGTGCTGCCGTTGATGTTGAGCAAACTTCCCTGATACGCACATCACTGTTATAGTATTAATGAGATCTTAAAATAATGATATGCAACCCCTTTCATACAACTATAAGATGCATTCACAATGTTGCCTAAAGGCAGTGTTCTTTGCCTGATAATATATATACAGACGCATCCACACTTTTGCTCAAAATAATTGCAATAGATATATAATTTGTCACTTATGTAGAGGTCCCTAATCACAAATTTGGTGTAAGCTGTCTGGAAGATAACAAAATAAATGCATAACTATGCCACTGCTTAACGAAACGTTCATACTGTGATATAATAATAATATATAGTTTTCTATACTGTACTCTCCCAATAATGACTAGATGCAGATCTAGGTTAAAAGGGTTTCCTGTTTCTTTCGATTTCTGTATTACCCAGAGTCAAACGGAACGGTTTTCTGAAAGTAGATAATCATATAGATTAACGGAAATTATAGTTCAGTTACGCAACCGTGTAATCAGCATGTGGGCGCTTAAAGATGCATTGTGTAAGAACTACATCTTCCTATTGAATGTATTTATGCGGCTTCAAATTTTATTTAAATTATTATTTAGACACTCATAATCACCCCTCTAGAGCATGGAATGGCATGAATATTAATTGTATTACGGAAACATTTTTCAAAATGATAAATTTTAAATACATCTTCTCTTGAATAAAATATTGTTTAAACCAATCGTATTACAATATTCGTGCCATTTAATCGGTTAAAATGTCTACACAACAAGAAATTATAATAATCTATGATCAGCGGTACACGCGGCTTATTATATAAATAACCAGACACGTTACTAAATAACCATAATAAATAGTAACTGTGGATACAGTGAGGGCGTGGGGTGCAATTTGTTTATATTTTGGGGGGAATTTGTATTGAATTATTTTTTTATAATATCATTTCGTGGTCCTCGTCTTTTAATATGTCAATTTTGTTACACATTTGCCATATCCCTTTTCTTTACTTATTTATTTGTCTTCCCTTGGGGTCTTCATAACTCCCAAGTTATGGTTGACTGTTTCATTTTCGTATTACTAAGTTGTCAATATAAAATCTCTGAAGGTACACTCAGCATATCATTTAGTTTTTAGACTGGGATGACTTTCTTACATCTATCTGTCCGAAATTGTGTGTTTCTCCTCAATCATATCTACGCAACTGATACCAACCAGACTAGCTTGCGCGACCATACCATATGGAAATAACAAACGGTTTGAGTGTAACATGTGGTAACTTAGTAGTATATATATATAGGTTTTGATATGGTATTTTCTTCCAAAAATAAAATATCTTAAAAATCCTCCTGCACCGATTTTCATAAATCTTGTACCCCCCCCCCTCCCAACACACATAACACACACACATATCCCTTATTTGTTAAAAGCGTATTTTGCCCAATTCCGAAATCTTAGTTACACAATGTTTGCTAACCTGAATATGGATATAGATATCTGGGATCTATTGTCTCCGATAAACCAGTATCGACATGGTTGCTTGGTGGGTCATCGCGTTGACGTGAATTGAGATCCTGTGATTGACGGGTATCAATCCCAGAATCTCCTTGAGGTTTAATCGGTGCATCACAGTTCTCTTCGATCGTGAGCCTGGTTTCCTCTAAGGGTTGTTGCGGCTGTGGTGATCGTTTCTTTCTCCGCCGAATTAAAATGCCACTAACCACAATAGTCACCACGATAGCAATGACTAGTATTGGAACCAAGACCTCCACATACAAGTTTGATTCTATAATACAAAAAAAAAATTAATGCAAACCAAGACGGTCGTTTAATGCAATTTTAATGCCCTATGATTGAATAGAGCAATAGAGTCTGTGGTATTGTATCTTATTGGCATGCTACGGCCACGGTTGGGGTAAGCACGGGGGCAACCCTCTCCCTCCCAATTTCCACCCACGGCAGCAGAAGAAATTTTGTTACCGAAAGGAAAGCAGGCGGATTACATCTCGCTCCTTCCCTAGCACTTGGACCCCTTGTACTTGTGCATATGCAATGACGGCAAACTCCTTCCACCAAAATGGACAAGCTACTCAACACCCTTGTTAAAGAAAAGTTCCTTTTTGAAAAGCGGCAGCCCCGGTTCCACTGGCTGAGCTGTTAAATCTACCCCTGTCACCGTTCTATAATAAAGATCGGTTTTAACCACCCACTTTGCTTTAATGACCGGGATATGTTCTGTGTGTTCTTGTAGAACTTCATAAGATGAAATGGGGTTTAACATCCTGTCTTTCTTGCATCAACCGAGATAATAAAGACAGCCATACGTCATACAGTGTGCTATGAAGGATATATTGTCCAGATGAAAATTGAATTTCAACTGTCAAGGGTTCTTTAGCGTGCGTTTTCCGAACGACTAGACGCTGTTCCACATCAGCCCTTTCGTCCTGTACCACAGATAAAAGGAAGTCACGCTGGACGGAACCCCGGAAGTCCCTGTTTGTGTCCGCGCCTCGTTCATTAAGCCATGGTGGCTCCCAGAATTTCATGGGTTTGAGGTATTATATGACTAATATATATGACATTTTTGTTCAGAATAATACATATTGTATAAACAAAAAGGTCTTAAAACTAAACACGGTATAGGATTGTATAACCCCGGTAGTTCTTACTGGTTTTGCATTGAATTTCGCACATTGTATTGGTTCTTTAATAATAATATTAAGCCTAAACTAGTAATAAAGTATATCATACTTACGGTTGGCTCCATCAGGAGATCTGTTCATGTTCATGCGGTCATAGTAATCTGTTGACGAGAAAATAACAACAAATAGACAGTGATGCCATTTTTCTTTCTTTCATTGGCTTTATTGCCGCTCTGCATTCTGTTGTGAAAATATTTTATCAATATTTCGTTCCTAATCCAAAATTTGTATTTTATATAATTCATTATAGACAAAACAGCTTTGATCGAATAGCGTGTATACAGTTGTACTGTCCTATTATTCGTAAGTCGGAAACCCCCTTTCCAAAAATAGTTACATAGATCTAAAAATAAATGCAATAAACATGACCTGTACGAACATGGCCTGTACGAGCTTTAAATCAGTTTAAAGGCATAGGGTTGTGTGGCCGAACGGTTTAACGCGTGTGCGTTAGTGGTTCAAATGAAGTGGTCTCGACCCGCATGTACGTGACAGTAATAATAATAATATAATTGATTTATAGAGCGCCAAGTACAACTAATATAAAATTACAACAATCACAACACATTAATCCATAAAAAAAGACATAAACAAAAAACGGAGAACATTATTTAGTACACATGGTAAAAGTCTGACACAAACACAGCTAGAACCGTATAAAATCAGTTGTAGATTTGATTAAAAAGTTCGGTTTTGAGATACTTTTTAAAACCTTTAATAGAATTTGACAAGTAATATGATATCATCTCCTTCCTTGTGGTTTTTATACTGGTACCCTGGTTTTCTCCCACTGCTAAAGAACCCTGCGCGCAAGCGAATTATTGAAATAAAATTGAACCATAATATGTTAGTCACAAAATAGTTTGTGTCGAGTGGACGTTAAACCCCATTTATCTCTCTAAATCAATTTAAAACTAGACCTATATGCAAAACCATTAAAACCCATAACTAACTTTTCATTAGAATTACCCCTACACCAATTGATAAGCTGGCAGACTAGGTGGGCGTGGAAATAGTACAGGATTGGCCCTTTAATGATGTCTTTAAAATGGTCCATGACGAGGATAAAAAAAATAATTTTACAAAATTGCTGATACTATCAATATTATGGCACTGTTTCATACTTCTAAAGATACAATTTCCATATTATTGAATTGATTTTGTATATTCGACCGTCGAGAATTAACATATCAGAAAATCTAGGAATGCCCGATTTAACAAAAAAAAGAAAACAAAAAAAAAAACCCCCCAAAAAAACCGTACCATCCATATTACTGAATTGATTTTACGTATTCGACCGTTGAGAATTAACATATTAGAAAGTCTTGGAATGCCCGATTTAACAACAAAAAAAAAAAAAAAAAAAAAAAATGAAACGTAAAGCTTTTGAATTGATTTTGTATTTGGAATTCCCGATTTAACAAAACAAAACAAAACAAAAAAAAACGTAAATGTAATTTTTAAGACATGAGACAAAAGCCAGACAAATCAATCTGATTTATTAGTGGGAGGAAACCGCAGAAAACCTAGAAAAAGTCTGAAGGGGTCAGACTGGCGACCCTACTTCTTGTCACGTACACGCAGGGGTTAATCTAGTGTTAATGGACAATGAATACGTCATTCGAGATCCTTTGCTGCTATAACTTGTTTTCGATCAACAGGAATTTACTTGGCGGTTTACATCGGACTATATACGCGTATAGGGGCACGCTATACGCGTATACATTGTATCGTGCATGTTTTTTTGTTTTTTTTTTGGGGGGGGGGGGGTACTTACTGCAGGGAGGAATAAATTCCATGAGGTGAGTGAAAAATGGGGCATTTGTGTTGTAATAAGTTCGAATCAAAAGTTCTGAAAATTGATGCACATATCTCTATAGGCATGGAAGACTATTCTCGATTTTCCTGAACATTGATGATTTCCAGTTAAATGCCGCCCGCCCCTCCATTACCCATATTGGAATGAGCCGACTCAAAGCTAGCCTGGCCCTCACGCCTCCGCAGGTAGAAACCAAGCCAGGGTTTCCTGAATCCATTGTCCAGATATGAATGAGGGTACCAAAATTGGCGGGGAAAATAACTGACCAGGCCATGGTATACCTACGTGTAGTATATACCGTGTAAACCGCTGTGTCAGTATACCCCTATGTAATACATGTAATTATCACAATGGTCGGTGGTGTTATAAGGTTAAAGTTTAAAGTTCGGGACGCCATAACGGCACTCCTGTTTTCACCACGTAAAAAACCGGTGGTAAAATAGATAAATTTTCTAGATGGTATTAAACATTAGCGCTTATTATTAACTCCCACATAATATAGTTTTAAAAAATGAATGGGTAAAACCTTTCACAAGATGACTAAGATGATATTATTTTGCAACAACGCGTGACAATATTCGATTAACAGTTAATTACGTTTAGCAATAATTAATTAGTAAATTGATATCTGTACCTTTACAATATTTGAGGCATGTGTCCAGACTCCCCCTCGCTTTTGCTTTATCACAAACAGTGCTGCAGGGCGAACATTCAATGTTGTCAAAGTAATGGTCTGTCACACACATATTAATCGCGACATTTACGCAACGACAATAGTTTTCGCTTTCGTCTCCAGCCCACACACCACAAACAACCACTACTTGGATCTTACTCCACGCCGTACTGTGAACGACTGAGACGCTGTATTAGTACCATCCCTTTTCTATAAATAGCAGTTATGCAATGCACATTACAGAAGTACACGTGGTTTGTGCCGGAGTTATTAAGTACATAATACAATACATTCTTTACATAGACAACACTATATTATGTATTATTGTATATCAAGAACTATCTAGAACCGTATTATTGTGTTAAACCATATATTATTCGTAGATGTACATTATCGAGTCGATACTGGGTTATCATGACCACATTGGAATTCCCACACAAGAATTGTACCTTCGTTTCTACACCCTGTCAAATGGATAATGCCGTATCCTGTCAAATTGTTGCATCATTATCCATCAGTTATCAAAAGGTTCATGTTATTTTATTATTTTTTTACTCTTAGTTTCTGACCCTGTTACGCCTTTCGGTAAAAGCACGTCTCTAATGACCAAGTTGGCGTTTAGTGAATAAAGGGACATAACTCCATTTTATGATGTTTTCTAATTAATTTAGATTGAACAAAATATGTGAAAGGTTTATTTGTCAGGTTCAAAAATAAAATAACCAAAATATTGTTGTTTAATTTGCTAATAATAAAGGACATAAATAACTTTAGATTCTTTGTTAATAGAATTAAGATTGATCTTAATACTGTATAAAAATACCATTGTCCGCGTTGTTGTAAAAATTGTAGACATTACATGTCCGTTCGTTAGTCATTAGATCAAAAATGCTAAGACACCACTCATGCCATACCAGATACTGAATTACAGTACTCAGGTGCCATTGATTGGTAAGATCATATCCTGATCATTACTGAAGCAGTTGAGATGAACATGTCTCTACTGTGCCGACAGGTCAGGTACACCCGATAAAAATAATGTTAACTGAAACGTTTAGGAACTCAATAATCATCATCAATTAATAAATTCTAAACCATTAAAATTTAATCAAGGGCCAGATAAAGATTGGCTAATCCTTTTATGCAGTTCAAGACCAGAGAAGAATGCTATAGACTTCCAAAGAGAGGAACATTTGAGGATAAGCTTAGCTTGCCTTGAGTACCACGAACACGGTTTTTAATTTGAACTTGAACATTTTATGAATGAAGCAATATATGGATACCTGTGCAATTTAATTTACTTAAGTCCGGCCTACACTGCCACGACTTGCCCACACTCTACCCAACGCAACGTCTTGTCTCACGACCACGATTCAATCGATTTCCGTCGTGTCGTGGCCCGTTGGCCCGACTGAGCATGTTCAGTTGTAGTCGGATGCAGTTGGATGCAGTCGTAACCCATCGTGTTTGTGTGGACACTCAAACGACACGATCAATTGTCTTACTGTTGTTTAGCCAATCAGAGAGTAGCATTTAGTCATGTGACTGTGCAGGTCATGTGCTCCTTGTTTTCCCGGTTAACTTTTGGAATCACTTACTAGAGGGAAGTGGCGTAACTCACGACGCATAATCTGTGAGAGTCGGGCCTGTGTGGACTGGTACCGTCGTAGGCAAGTGAAGTAAAGACGCGACCCGATTTTTTTGTACAACTACCCAAGACGCTGAGTCCTGTCGGGTTGTGTGTAGTCGTAGCGGTATGGGCCGGGCTTTAAAATTCTCGTATTGCTCAGCCATTAAATTGTTTTCAGTACTTTTGATGACATAAATCTGGACCTATTGTTCATAACTGCCATGCTACAGGCAGGAAGCTTTAGTCTATTAGAAAATATTATAGATCTGTCAGTAATCATACCCCCATTTGATCGTCTGTCACATTTTCAAGGAGCAAATACCCTTTCCTACACCATTCCGAAGCAAAGGTACAGAGTATAATAATAATAATAAATAATAATTATAAATTGTCTTGTACATGTATAGCGCTAAATTATGTCTGCTGTTAAAAGATCACCACAAATAATAGATTTACATCAAAAATTAAAAACATTAAGCTGTAAAAGACATATCTACAACATGTCCATTTTGGGGTGTGGACTCATTTGGAAGAAATGTCATAGGATTACATGTTTGACCATAAACAAAAAGTCTTAGAAATCCTTGAAATCTTATATGTAACTATCTGTTTGTGCAAAATAAAATACCTGGCTACAATTCAAGCACAAAATCCAATTACTGCTAATTTGGAATCAATATATGTTCAATTGAATATCCAAATATCATATTCAAGAAAAGGGGTGGGGTGGGGAGGGTGAGCCAGTCTAAATGAAATGAAGACAGAAATTCCCCTGCAAACACATAGATTTTACTTTCTCGAAGGGAAATGCAACAATTTCAGGTTTTAAAAGTTTAAAATTGTGTTAAGCCAGAGGAACACAGCAGCAAAATGCAGTTCACTCATGTTTTGAAAATTGTAACATATCTCAGCAGTACATAATTAGCCAAAATTTCTTAATTTTTGTACGCCCATATTTTCATGTGGACATATATTGTTGTCACCCCTGTCCGTCCACAATTGTTTGTGGACAATCTACAGGTCACAATTTTTATCCTATTTCAACGAAACTTGAAATATAGGTTTATCTCCCTAAGATCTTGGTTCCTTTCGATATTGGCATATATCGGACCGTAACTTCATGGATAAAGGCCCCTGTTTTTAGCTTGTCACACTTTTTATCTGATTTTGGGGAGGTTAGATGGCCGAATGGTTAGCACGTGTGCGCTGTATCATAAGGCCTGTTATTGAGTCAACTGGCATGGTTTCAAATCCCCAGTTGTACGTGACAAGGAGTAGGGTTGCCTGTCCAGCCTCGTGGGTTTTCTCCGGGTCCTCTGGTTTCCTCCCACTGCTAAAGACCCCTATGCGCAAGCGAATTAGTGAAATAAAATTAAACCATATCTTAGTCCCGAAATGACCTAGTCTGTGTCAAGTGGACGTTAAACCCCATTTCTCTCTCTCTCTATCTGATTTTGTTGAAATTTGAAACGTTAGTTTATAACCCAAAAATCTGGGTTCCTTTCAATATCGGACTGTAACTTCCTGAATTATGGACCCTGATTGTACAAAAAATCAAATCATGTTTTTTAGCTTGTGGACCCTATGGAGGTCACAATTTTATTCCAATTTAAAAAAATGTTTGAATATATCACTGTTACACCTTAATGACAGTTGAGTTTGAATTTCGTGATAATCGGACCAAAACTGCCAAACAAAATGGCCGCCCTTCATACACAAACATTGTAAAAATATGGTATATCAAGTTTGTGGACCCTCTAGAGCTCACAATATTGATTCGATTTTGACAAAACTTGAAATACATGTTTATATCCCAAAGATCTTGGTTCCTTGCGATATTTGCACATATTGTGGTCCCTCTAGAGGTCACAATTTTTATGCGATATAAAAAAACGTGTGAATATATCACTGTTGAATTCAAATTTTCACCCGATTTTGATGAAACTTGAAATGCATGTTTTTAACCCAAAGATCTTGGTTTCTTTTGATATTCGCGCATATTGGATCGTAACTCCCTGAATTATGGCCCCTGATTGTACGAAAAATCACATTTTTAGCTTGTGGTCCCTCTAGAGGTCACAATTATTATCTGATTTAAAAAACTGTTCGAAGATATCATGTTGGTCGAGTTTAAATTTTGTGAAAATCGGACGAAAACTGCCAGACAAAATGGCCGCACCCCTACACAAATAATGTAAACATCTGGTATATAAGGTTGTAGACCCTCTAGAGGTTACAATTTTGATCCAAATTTGCTGAAACTTGAAATGCATGTTTAAAACCCAAAGATCTTGGTTGCTTTCGATATTTGCATCGTAACTTCCTGAATTATGGCCCTTGATTGCTCGAAAAATAGCTTTTTGTTTAGCTTGTTCTCTATCCATCTCTTGCAAAATGTGGGCATATCCTGCCTGGCAGTCGCTGGTTAAATTTCTGACAAATCTATGTGTTTGCAGGGGAATTTCTTTGTCTTCATTTCATTTAGACTGGCTCACCCTCCCCACCCCACCCCTTTTCTTGAAAATGATATTTGGATATTCAATTGAACATATATTGACTTCAAATTAGCAGTAATTGGATTTTGTGCTTGAATTGTAACCAGGTATTTTATTTTGCACAAACAGATAGTTACATATAAGATTTCAAGGATTTCTAAGACTTTTTGTTTATGGCCAAACATGTAATCCTATGACATTTCTTCCAAATGAGTCCACACCCCAAAATGGACATGTTGTAGATATGTCTTTTACAGCTTAATGTTTTAAATTTTGGATGTAAATCTATTATTTGTGGTGATCTTTTAAAATGTGGCACTTACAGATCAATAAAATATTAATTAATAGCCTTTTCATACTACTTTTATGCTGTGAATTATGTCATAACTCCCCTTTTCCACCTCATTTTTTCAGAAGATTAAAACAACTTGCTTCCACAAAATATTTAGACTATGTAATTTCAAGGATACCTCAGATTGTTAAAGTCTTCTTGTATACTGGCCAAGGTTTCTAGAAATAAATGCCTCTCATCTCAGACTTTCCAAGAAATAGGGATATATTGGCATTTTGAGACATACAAAGTGTAAAAAATGGACCATTTTGGAGAAAAAGGTAAAAGAAAGTCAATTTTGGAAAAATATTCCAATATTTTGAATATTTTTGATGTGACTTGTTTGAAACTCTTTAAATCTTTTTACAGAACTCACATTTTGACAAAATTAAGAAAGAATCTTCAATTCTAGAACAAAAGACCCATGGACTTTAGCTGCAACACATTATACAAAACAGTACATAACTTTAAAGGGTCACCATTTCTGCAGTAATTATTATTTTTTTTGTCTGTATTATAATAATTTTGCAAAAATAAATGTGAAGCTATAAAGAAAAGAATTTTGATGATATGTGAACTTATAAGGACACAGATCACCAAATATTCCAACGCCGTCACCCACGAAACAAGGGCCAAAGCTATTTTTAGTCTTCCTCTCCCTTTTCCTTTTTCCCCCTTTTGCATGGCGATTTTTGTTGACTTTTTGGTGTAGAATTGAGGAAAAGGGTTTGAAAA